ATTATCCATGTGGTTATTATCTATTTTTAATCTGCCTTTCCAAATTTGATAGGGAAAAATCCACACTTCCTCCCAAGCAATCAGTGCCACATTGAGCACAGAAATGGTAATAAAAGATACTTTCTCACAAGATATAATAAAACCCTAGATAGGAATCATACTCTGTGCTAAATTTCCATTATGAAGTTGAAAACATTTTAAATCAAATCAACAAGTATTTCTTGAGAATATCACGAGGATGGCACAGAGCCCAGCTCACAATCATCCATAAGTCAAACCATACATTCTACTTTCTTAAAAATAACAACTACGTTTACATTTCCCTTTATTAGCTAATGCATACAGACAAAAAGGGTATTTGACGTTTCTGTTTCTTGGTCCCTTGGGGAAAGGGAAAAAAAGGCCTTATTAGTGCTGTCTTCTCAATTTAACCTTATTTTAAGATTCTATGTGTACATTAACATCCCTGGGAGGTGTAAACAGTAGAGATTGGCTGCTAACAGAAAGTTTGGTAGTGTGAATCTATCCAGAGTCACTTTGGAAAAAAGGCTTGGCCATATGTTCCAAAGACCAAAATGTTTTTATGTACCGTCATGTGGGAACTGACCCATAGCTGAACCTATGGGTTTTCAGAAGTAGTAAATAGCAAAGGAGGAGATTGCTCATCTTTCTTTCACCGAGAAGCTTGTGGATTTAAACTACATGTATTTGGGATTACAGTGCAGTTTCTTACCACTGCGCCATCATCAAAGCCATTGAAAACTCTATGAAAAACAATTCTACTCTGACACACATGCGGTTCTATGAGCCAAAATTTACTCCTTGACAGATGATCTGCAAGAGAGTATTGCAGCAAAAATTTTAATTTTAAAATGTGTTTCGGGACTGCTTGGACTATCAGCTGAGTTGCCCTCTACATCTTTCATTTGTGCTCAGCTCCAAATAGTGTGCAAGGTCTAGGCAGAGATGAGCCTCAGAGTAGCGACAGTCTTCGCTTCTTCCAAATGCACCCAGGCAGAGGACAAGGTAAATACGGCTATCACTGATAGCACATTTCTCGGGATCCTAGTGTCCAATCCCCAGAAATGTTTTCTAGTCAGAATTCCAGCTCCTGATGAAAATGGTACCATGCTTGGCTGCTAAGGTTGGAGGTTCAAGTCTGCTCAGGGAGGTCTCAGAAGAACAATCTAGGAATCTGCTTCTGAAAGGTACACCCTTGAAAACCCTAGGGAGCACTGTTCTACTCTAACATACCTTGGTTTTCGTGAGTAAGAACTGAGTTAATAAGAGCAAATAAAGTTTCACAAGCAAGGAGAAAGATTCCAAGTAAATAAGGGAGCTCTTAGCCCGCAGTGAATTTTGCTACTAAGATAAAGGTCTCCAGCAGCCATTCAAACCCACCAAATAACCAAACAAAACCTCACCCACTGCTGTTGAGTTGATTCTGACACCATTGGGCTTCCACTTAATGCACTGATTATACCATGACTTATGTGATTGCTAACTGAAAAGTCAGCATTTCAAATCCATCAGCTCTCAGGTGGGAGAAAGATTGTGAAACACACCTAGACTCTTCCCAACCAACTCAATAGCAGTGAGTTTGAATAAACTATCACCACACTGAGAAGAAAAGGGAATGGTGCGTATCCTCCACAGTGATCATTTTCATGCAACTCAATTTCAAAAAGAGTGAATTCCATTCATGGTTTGATGAAAGTACAATCATTACTGACAATGATTAATTAACTGGCAGGGTTGTCAAAGAGTACTGGTAATTGTTCCAAAGCTTTTTTCTAGATAAATCCAATGTAATTATGATGACTGCTCTGAATTTCAGTAAAGCATGATTTAATACTACAGCAAGAGTGCCATTAAAATGTGAATAATAACTTTCCAATAATTTCTAGAAATTGAAATGGAATCTGTTTGGCAATAACATGACATTTTGACACCAATGAAAATATTTTCTGTCGTTATGTAAGCAATAAAAAATAAATGTTTTATAAAATTTATCCAGGAGGACTTATAACTAGGAAAAACAATCATAATTAATAAGATTTCATGGAGTATGCAGCAGCCAAAGATAACTTTTACACCAGCTGAAGGTGATGAGGTCATTTCTGGTCCTAGGTTCATAAGGCCTGACCACCTGTAGCGATTTTTAAAAAGCACTTGAAAAGCATTAATTTTCCAAAAGCGGATAGGCTGAGAGAGTCTCCCCCTTTTATGTAACTTCCCATTGTGCCAAAGTGATGGAATTGAGAGCACAGTTCAGTTTTTCAAGCAGCTGTTCCCATGGTGCAGAAATAAACGAGTCAAACCTACCAAGACCAGCTGGAAAAGAGATGTGAATCCACTATTTCTAAAGGCATTATGGACCTTAAATTCTCTTTTCAGGATGGTAGACATCCAAATCAACTACATTTAAGAGGATTGTTGTGAAATTATAAAATGAATGAAGAACCAGCCTGACAATTCAATTGGCTGGTGCAGACAAAGTTGTACCAGCAGGTAACCAGGCCTCTGACCATAGTGACTGTAGAGTTAGCCTGGAGATGAGAGGTTCATTTCACATTTTAAAATGAGCATAATTATAGAACAAGAAGATTAATGAAAGCAGTATCAGAAAAATAAAAAGTTACTTTCTTTATGAGCATCACCAATCTCTAACTTCAGAAGCTCTACCAAAGTTTTCAAGGTCCCAGGGCAGCTGAAATAGAATGTGCTTTACTGCTAATTAGTGGTTCAAACCTACTTTGAGGCCCTGCAGAAGAAAGGCCTGGTGATCTGCTTCTGTAAGGATGATGGACAAGTAAACCTGATGGAGTAATTCTACTTCGTAAAGTATGAAGTCACTATGACTTGGAATTAAACAGATACCAACAGGTTTAGGTGGTTTCTGTTTGACCCCAAGGTTTAGAGAGGAATATAGAGAGTCACTGAACTAAAAACTGGTCAGTGCTCAAACATTTCAGGAGGTAGCATATGATCAAGAACCAATGGTACTATATGACAACCATCTGGAACAAGGAGTGCCTTATGAGGAGGGCTGGGGGGAAAGAGGGCAGAAAATGTGCAACAATTAAAAAAAATTAGTAATAATAATAATAAAGAACCAATGATACTGAAGGATGAAGTTCAAGCTTCACTAAAGTTATTGGCAAAAAAACAAGGCTCTAGGAATTAACAGAATACCAAAAGAGATGTTTCAATGAACTGATGGAACAACATTGGACCTGCTCACACAACTAGGCTAAGACACTAGAAAGACAATTACCTGGACAACTGAAGAGAAGAGATCCATATTTCTTGCTTAACATAAAGAAAACTATTCACTGGAATATGGAAATTATAGAAAACTATCACACAAAAAAAAATTAAAAAAGAAAACTATCACACTCAAGAAAAATTTTACAAAAAGCCAGCACAGTACATTGTCAGGGAATTGCCAGAAATTTAAGCAGGATCTTTACAAGGAAGTGGATCTGAAAATATCCTTGAAGATGGCTTTTAGTTAAAAGGACACTAGAAATACGTTTACTTATGTTTTGTTGTCTATGCAAAGGCATTCAGCTGTGTGGATCATAACAGATTATGGATAACACTGTGAATACCAGGAATTTCAAAACAATTATGTTTATGTGTAGAGACATCAATAAGATTAAAACAAAGGGAGAATGATGATTCAAAATTATGAAAAAAGGTATGTCTAAGGATTATATCCTTTAATCATACCTATTCAAACTGCATGCTGAACAGATATTCCAAGATGCTGTATTATGTAACAAAGAACATGGGATCAGGACCGGGGGGAGATTAATAGCCTGCAATAGGTGGACAACACAACCTTGCTTGCTGAAAATGAAAAAGATTTGATACACTCACTTATTAAGCTTTAAGATGGTAGCTTCGGTGTTGGTTGCACCTCAACATAAAACAATAATTCTCACAGCCGGACCAATAACTACCATTTTGATAAACAGAGAAGAAACTGAAGTTATCAAGGATTTCATTTCATTAGATCCACAATCCATGTCTGTGGAAGAAATCAAAGAAGTCAAGAAACCAAACAGACTGAGAACACAAAATGAAGCACAGAGACTTGTACATCAATGTTCATAGCAGCTTTATTTATCATAGCAAAAACATGGAAACATCCCAAATTCCCAACCACAATCTTTTTATGTTTCTTGTAAAAGATTATAGAGTCCAAGAAAAACAGGGAAACCTTCAAAGACTGACACAGTGGCTGAAGAATAATCGAATTATAATGATGCCAAAAGACTGTAGTGTCTTCTTTTGCTATACATAGGGACACTGTAAGTCAAAACCAATTTCACAGTACCCAGCAATAATATAAAAAATAATTTGAGCTAATACAGCCAGTTCTGGTTGGTGAGGATGTGTGTGTGTGTGTGTGTAATAAAAGTACTTAATATATTTTTATTTCTCAAATGTTTCAAAAACTTATTGAAAGAATACAAATATCTGAATAACTTACAGAAGATGCATCACTTTGCTTGGGAAGGCTTATAAAAAGCGTGCATTTATGAATGAATACTAAGAATACAATTAGTGTAATTTAAAGAAAGCAGTCATAATAAAAATCTTAACATTCAACTGATCTAAAATAAGAATCAGCAAAATTTTTCAAACATTAAGAACTTTTAAACTAGTAACAGAAAAAAAGAAAAAACCCATGTACATAGCAAAAATATCTGTGTATTAGAAATAATCTTATCAAATTAAAGAACATTTCACCACATTGATCACTATGTAGTAATAATGGACAAAATGAAATTAGTGTAAATGTTGTGAAGAAGCAGCAAACGTTGTCGATTATACATCTTCCTACACAGGGACCTCCCACGCATGATTAAAACGAGTTAACGCTGGTAGAGCCGCCGCGCCCCAGGTTACTCTAAGCTCCGCCCTCACGCCCCACCTTGTGCCGTTGCGCATGCGCGCAGTCACACGCATGCGCCCGGGGCAAGAGGAACATGGCGGCGCCCAGATACCCTACGCCGCTACATGGGCACGTGGGGCACGGGCCGTTCAGCGAGGTGTACGAGCCCGCCGAGGACACATTCCTGCTGCTGGACGCGCTCGAGGCGGCGGCAGCTGAGCTTGCTGGGTGCGAGGAGAACGAGGGTTCCGCGGGGGAAATGCAGAGTCCTGGCTTGTTGGGGGTTAAGAGGCGGGGAAAGGCCCTTCTGCCTCTAGCACGGATTCCGCCCACTTCCCGTTGATTGACATCCTCCATGAGGTTTCCCCAGAAGCTTCCTGTAGTGCTTCGGATACTTCTTTTGCCGGTGTTGCTTTGATTTCTTGAGCTCCGTGCTTGCTTATTTCACCACGATGTATCGTTTCATTTGTGAGTCTGAAGAACGCATGCTCTTGAGGGCAACCAAATTTTAACATCCAATCATAAAGTAAAACAGTACTTCTTACGAATTTTTTTCTTTTGGTAGAGGGTCAGCCAAAGGAGACCTTCTCAAAAAGATGGATTGATGCAGTGTCTGCAGCAATGGGCTCAAGCGTGTCAGGCGATGAGGATGACAAAGGATAGGACAGGATTCAGATCTGTTGTTCATAGGATCACTATGAGTCTTGCAAGACTAGAAGACACCTTAACAGCAAAAGCCATGTGAAATTATATCCCTGCCCTTTAATACACAAAAAGGAAAAGAAGGCTAGAAAAATAAAATCGGTTAAATTATTGGAGTGGAGAAATCTTTTTACATCCAGTCAGTAACATGCTTAGCCCTGTGAAAACGGAGCTGGTTAAGGTAGCCACTGAGTAATTGACATGTGACCAGTACAATTACTTTGTTTAATGGTATTTTATTTAGGTAGTTAAAGTTTACCGCTACCTTACTAAACATAAGTTTATAGAAGTTATTTAATTTTTAAAGCCGCTGCTATCTAGCTGATACTCAACGCTGGTGGCTTAGTGGTAAGGAATTGTGCTGCCAATAAAAAGATAATACGGTTTGAATTCACCAACTGCTCCATGGTAGAAAGATGGGCAGTCCAGTGTAATTTACTGCCTTTGAAAACTTGCTAGAGTGTCAATCAACTAGTTCCAACCCAACAGGACACAACAACAACATAGTCTGTGCATGTCTGGTGTCTAAGGCCTCTAGGTTGGCCTAATGGGTAAAGCGTTGCCCTCTATCTCAAAGACAAGTGGTTTTAATCAATTCCCAGGAAGAAAAATGGGCCATCTCCCTTGGGATTTACAGCCTCATAAAATCCTTCGGGGGGGGGGGGGGGGTGTCATTTGTTACAATAGCATAATCTGTGGGGTTTTCCAGGTTCTCCGAGAAAGGAGACTGACCATCTTTCTCCGGAGAGGAGGGTGAATTTAAATTGTCACCTGAAACACTATGATACCAGGGTTTGTTAGAAGCAACTCTAGAGCTTTAGAACCATTCAAATGACTTGCTTGCAGTAAATTGGAACACATGAAAGATAAAAACTTGAACCTAGTTTTCTCAAGATGAACTAAACAGTTCTCAGAGTTTGGGGAATCTTTTTGTATTTTTGGATTTTTTTTTTTTTAAGAAAATGTATATTTTGTATTAACAGGTTTGAACAAATTCATTTTTTTAAATTTCCATACATTTCATTGTTACACTTTTCCTCCCTGCCTCCCCCACCCCCCAGTT